TCCTGTTTCAGTTAAAATGACGTCAACACATAGAGTAACGCTGCGTGTTTCTAAGCATTTCAGGGGACCTTTAAAAGATATCCATCAATGACTCCATTTTGTTCAAAATATCACTTATGAACTCACTCTGGCAGAGAGAGATAACACAATCCTTCATATTCCAGTATTAAGTATTCTAATTTATTATTAAATGACGAGATCAGAGCGGTCTATGTTAAAAATTATGTTAAAGAGGTTAGCAGAATGTAATAAAAAGAAAAAATCAAGGGCAAATTTTTGCCAAAGCCAAAAGCCTACATGCATATCAGGTGCAAAGTTAAATTCAACCAAACCAGAAATCAACCAAAGTGAAGATGTTAAATACTTATATTAAAATAGGTTTAGTGTTTCAGGCTTTAGTAAATTACACCCTGTAGATGTATACTATGTAAATGGTATCGACGAAACAGCACAGCAAAGAAGTCCATTCAGGCACGTGTTAATGAGTTTTTAAAAAGACCCAAATAAGCCAAGCTTGGTCTACAGGATCAATAACTTGACTGCAGTTTGGAGAGCAGAAAACAAGCACTGCTCCCCTACTAACTTTACTATAACTACATCACCATCACAGAACACTCCAAAACAGCAGATGAAAGCAAAATCACTAAATAAATGAATAAAGTTAACTTAATGAGTGACTGGAAAGGGAGATCATTATTTTACTAGTTTCACTGTCTCTAAATGTCAATTAAGCAAGAACTGCTTCCCATTAAGGGGCGAATAACTACAGTGCGCTGAGGAGAGGTGCCTCCACATCGGTCTCAAAAACACATCAGACAATGATCCCACAGCATCCTAATGAACACAATCTTAAATATTCATAGAGGACTGAAGGCAATGAGGGAAGGTACGAGTGTTATAAAGTCAGAAAAAGAGATTTGGATCTTTAAGCTACAACTAAAATACGAAAACCTGAGCAAAACCTGCAGGTTAGGGAAACTACAGACTTAGTCGATTAGTTATGCCTGAACACATGAACACTGGTCCAGTCAGGTTGAGTCTCATATGGACCACAAAATCATGAAAACCATAAAAAAATATATAAATAAAATAGTACTCATAAAATTACTTATAAGTGTATGTATACAGTGTTTGTGTTTGTAGAAGAGTTCATTTGCAAAAACCGATAAACGCCACTTTCAAAAAAATGAGCTGATTGCCGTGCATTATTCTCCACATATAGCGCGATCTGAACCCTAAACACGTTTCGTCAAAAAAGCCGGTTTTGTCCACTTTCAAGGCATCGCGAATTCACGATTTACTGCAGAAGCCGACAAGCAGCCTTGTTGTTTTTGAACAGAAGCCGATAAGTCAATTTTAGCGAATCAGCGCGCTGTATTCAGGTCAGGTGACAAGGCTACTTTCACTTTGAAAAGACGTGCTAGCTGAGAGGAGTTTCGTCAAAGCTGACTAAAAGTGATCGAGGATGGATCATTTCGACAAACTTGATGAATCTGTGATACCTTCTTCAGGGCGAAAAAGGAAAATAAAAGCTGAAACGTTTTCACGGAACCTTGCAAAAGCAGCGCGTTACAATGGTGAGGGAAAAGCTCCGTGTATTGCGTGTAATCACATCCATACAGTTTATGATCACAACAACAACAACGTTTGTCAGGCATCTACATTGTCATCTGAGGAGATTACAAAGATTAAACAAGTGTTTTTTTCAACTCTAAAACATGAAATGTGGAGTTATCTGCTTTTGCCAAAAAAACGACTGTTGGAGTTACCTGCTTTTGCTATAAAACAAACTTTTAATATATATTAAAAAAAACATACTTTCAATGAACTTTAATTTTGTAAATTACCTGCATTTGTTTAAGTTATTATTACGTAATCAAAACAACCCATCTGCAGTTTGATTGATATTACTTGGAATGCGCAATAACAAAACGTGATTTCTGAAAAAAAATAAAAATGGAGTTATCGGTTTTTGCAAATGAACTCCTCATATATACACACACACACACACACTCACATTCACATGCATGTATATATAATTTTACAGTTGTTTTATTATTAAATAATTTTATTATAAATATTATATAATAATATATTGATAAGCAACACTAAAAAGTATAAGAAAAAGTTTTAAAAGTTTAATAGAATTAAACAAAACAAAAACTCACTATTTTGTGTTTACTGAAAAAAGATCTGTCTTTCAGTCCAATTTGAAACAAAAATATTAGTTTATGTATTATTAAGAATTACAGATTTATTCTGCTTGATAAAACTGATGTTTTCACTGATAATTGATGCTACTTTCTTATTGGATAGTAAAATCAAGCCAGTTTGGACCCATTCATGAAGGATACAATCCCTGCCGGGGAATAGGATTTTGTGGCGCACCATTTCACCCATGATGCAACCAACTGACCAAATATCCACTGCAGGCACAGAAGCGGGAAAAAGAGTGAAGGAAAGAAACAGAGAGGTTAGCATTAGCACAAACAGTCATCAGTGATGGAGAGAGAAAGACCTACATGAGCTGTATCACTCTGGTTAATTATATCTGCGGTATCTGCCACACATGTAATTAGACAAAGGATTATTCCACAACTGCTCAGATCAAAGTTAAAGCTGGGGACAGACCTCAGGGAGCACTGTTTGTGGCAGGAAATCCATAGCCTGACCTCTCTCTGCTACCCCCGTACTCTAAATATACACACTCATATTTTGGTCCTTAGTGTATTAATGAGTTATTTGAGTTTTCAAGCAGTGAAATATGTTAGTATTTCATAAAATTAACAGCAGGTTAAGAAATCTAAGTACTGAACTAATCTTCCCAACCTCAAACCTGAAAACTTAGTAACATTAACTTTAATCCAAATAGTCTGCTCATTTTGGCACATTTGCAGCTTAAACTATACATAAATGTTGTCATTTAAAGGGGTCCTATTATGCGTTTTCACATTTTCAACTTTAGTTAGTCTGTAATGTTGCTGTTTGAGCATAAAAAAGATCTGCAAAGTTACAAAGCTCAAAGTCCACTTCAAAAAAAGATATTTTATTCAACAGAAATCACTTTTCAAAAAGTACAACGAACGGCTCGTTTGGACTACAACGCATATTTTCCGGGATTTGTGATATCACAAATATAAACGAATGGGACGAGACCTGGTTGAGCTGCACTACAGAAGGCAACGAGTGTTATCGCTATGTCGGCGACACGCTAGCTTTCCCAAGGCAGACGAACTTAGAGTGGTTACAATCATCCGGGTTTAAATCACGCTCAAATTGATTTGATTTTGACGCAATATTTACACTGAAGCTCACAGACGGTTATGGTAAGGGGCGTGACATTTCCCAACCAGGCACCGAGTGGTGCCAATCACAACACACACTGGCCCAGCTAACCAATCACAGCACATTTCGTATTTCAGAAGGCGGGCCTTCATTTGATACAGGAACTATTCGAGCCGTTCATGCCGGACTGGGGAGAGAGGTGTTGTAATAATGTAAAAATATGTGAAAAACAATGTGTTTTTCGAACAACCTAGTATGAGAGCTAGTACACCCCCAAAACAAAATCAAGACTTTGTAAAAGAGCATAATAGGACCCCTTTAATACAATTTCCTTCCTGTATTTCTGTATATACTAAAACAGAAAATTGACACAACTTATTTTTTAAATAGCAAAAAAAATGTTACATCTACAAAACCACAGCTAAACGATGTTCAGAATAGCGTACTACTCTTACTAATTTTATTAAGTATATAGCATGCATACTATGACTAGTTTGTAAATATTGACCAACTGTATCTTTCTTGACTCATTATTATATTGTTCTGTGAAAATGTAAAACAAATTTAATGTTTTAAATTTAATGAATTAACTATGCAGTGTAGTAAGGCCATGTGACCACAATATAACATGCTACCAGTTGAAATCTTACTTGTTGCATAAAACATAATGCTGCACATAACTACTAAAATACTAAAATAGTTTGCAGACATTGACTAAAAGCCACAGAAACCCAATTTTGATGTCACTGGGTCTATAAAACCCAAAAATTCGAATAAAGCCTTCTATAGTACAATATAGTTATATTTGAAAGTGTTGGGAATTTCTGAAGTATATAGCATGTATACTATGATTAGAAGGCAGATAATAACCCAACTACATCTTTTTTTTGACTTACTTGAATAATTCTGTCAAAAATTTGACCCAAAATTGGATTAAAATGCAAAATAACCATATTTACTTGCAAAATTACAATTAATTATTTAAATATACAATGTAGTAAGGTCATGTGACCACATTATATGATGCATGCCAGAAAGATTGTATGTAAGAGTTGAATGCACATAAATTCCACCACATTTTTTTTTATTTACAATTAAAACTATCAAAGTTTTATGTATAAAATTCCATAGTATTGTGCAATTACATATTGTAGAAGTAGAGTTAAGAAATCTTGCTGAATTTTTTGTCGAAATGGTACAGTACATTGCCATCTTGATCTGACCAAACTGACCTGAATGCACCTTCCATCGTAATTACGACTTCTAAATTCGTAAATACAAACTTCCCAGGAGGACTTGAACGCACCAATAGCATACTACTAGTTGCATAAAACATACTGCTTTACTTACTAAATACTAAAATATTTGGACACAAAACTCCACTTTAACTTCAGTTTTGATTTCACAGGGTCTATAAAACCCAAGATTATAGTGTTATTTAAAAGTGTAGGTCAACCTGCATGCAGTCCCGTGATTGGTTTACCGTTCTCCTTGTATCCCATGCCCAGGATGACCTCCGGGGCCCTGTAGTACCGCGTCACCACGTAGGGTGTCATCATAAAGCTAGTGCCAGCAGTTCTCGCCAACCCAAAGTCCAAGATCTTCAGCGTACAGTCGGATTTCACCACAATATTGCTAGGTTTCAGATCCTTAATGGAAAATATGGGTCATGGCGAGAAGATGATAAGAGTTTTGTTAGGAGTTCAGCTTTTATTGATTATTTAAATTAATAAAATTGATTATTCCATCCCGGTATGAATTTTGGTTCACCCTAAATTAAAATCCTGTCATCATTTATTGATCCTGCTGTGTGCATCCATGTCTCTCACCCTGTGGATGATGCCGGCTGAGTGCAGGTGTTTGATTCCACACAACATCTGGTACAGCAGGTAGGACATCCTCTCGTGGTCCAGCTCCATCTGAATCACCTGGCAAAGGTTTGCATCCATCAACTCCATGACCAGGTAACTGGAGAAAAGAGAAAAAGGAAGGAAGAAAATGTGAATTTCTCAGGCTGGACAACAGCAACAGCGACTGTCCCTGTGATTATGTCATATTAAATTGCCATGGTTTATTCATTCTTTCTTAATGCACAAAAGAGGCCACTGTGGATAGATGTGGATCTTTACAACCTCTTATACAGAGAAAATACTTGTCGGATGATGACAGTCAGCAAGTCAGTGAATGGAATACTAACAGTCAATCGCATTCTGCTGAGTGCTCAGAAACCATGGCTGCACATTTATGGATTAAACGTTTTGTTTTATGAAAACTATTATGTTATTATTATTATAAATATAATATATACTTATAAATAAATGTACCACACAAATAGTGATTTTTTTATTATAATAGTTTTTTTAAATACTTTTTAATAGTAATGAGTATAATTATAACCAAAAAAATATAATTTAAGATCACAAAAAAATGTAATATGACAAACTGTGACAAACTAGTTTCAGATTTTGTTTTACAATTTGGCTGACCACAACTCAGAAGCTAATTAGCTGATTTCTAATAATTTAGTCCACATGAACTCACATCCCATCCATCCTAACACTCAAATGATCCGGCTTTGACTGAGCAGACATTTCATACTCAACATATTGATCCTGCTCTAGATTAAGTCCACACAGCATGCAAAATAAATGAAGGCATGGGCGGCATGAGATTCAAGTGTCAGGGACCAACCTGGGAGCGGGAGCATAACCGACTGCAGGTGATCTATCACCCTTACTGCTACATCACAGTGCTTGTATCGGGAGCCTGCATAAGCTCAACCACAGGGCATGCTGCAATTAACCTGAAAAATCATAAATCACCTTACTGTGGCAGACTATGCATTGTTGTCGGTGGAGGGGAGTGAATAACCAGCGCTCTCTTCCACCTTCAATACCACGACTGAGGTGAGACCCTTGAGCAAGGCACCGAACCCCCAACTGCTCCCTGGGCGCCACAGCAATATGGCTGCCCACTGCTCTGGGTGTGTGTTCACAGTGTGTGTGTGTTCAGTGTGTGTTTGCACTTGGATGGGTTAAATGCAGAGCACAAATTCCGAGTATGGGTCACCATACTTGGCCACACGTCACTTCACTTTCTTTCTTCTTTGTTTCAAAAACATTTACATTATTAGTAATGTTTATTCAAATGCAAACACTTTCAGCAATAAATGCCCCCTTCTCTTTCTGACAATATATTTCTTTCCTTAGGTTAGCTTGATATATATACATATATACAGTGACAGGTGTGCTTAAAACATCAATTTGGCTTTGAACATAGCTTATCCAATCAGATTTCAGAACCAGAACAGTTTCATGATTGCCGTTCTAACACTAGCAGTCAACGGTTTACATTCAGATGTTTTATATGATATAATCAGATGACTTCATGCCTGGGAAAATCTCCAAATGGTACTTACACATCTTGGAATTCCTCTAAAGACTTCTGTGGTGTGAAGACATTTAATAAGCTGATGATCTGGAGGAGAAAAGAAGAGAAAAACTTTGTGAAGTTATACTATAATGCTCCATTGGATTAATCATTAAAGGAATAGTTCACCAAAAAATTTAATCTTCTTACAATTTTTAAAGTCTTCTTGAGTCATTGCATGACTTTTTTTTTTTTACTTAAAAAGTATTTAAATACATTTATAAAAATATAAAATACATAAACAAGTATCTATTTTTTATTTCAGTGTTATTATTTAGTTAACTAAAATCATAAACTTTTGTCACCTGGAATAAAATGAACTTTAACTGAAATAAAGACAAAAAACGATAAAAAAAAACTAAACTAAAAAAAACTAATAAAAATGACAAAAACACAACAAAACTAAAACTTTAAATAAAATTAAAGTGAAAACAGAAAATATAAATATAAAATCTAATTTAAAATATTAACAAAAACTATAATAGTATATCAGTGATAATGAAATAACAATGATTTATTTATTTATTTTGTTCCACAGGATAAATAACAGCACACAGGCTTCGAATGACACCAAGGTGACTAAATAATGACCGAACTGTCATTTATCCGTGAATTATGCCTTTAACTACTCATTTAGAATGTGTGGGTAAACTTTGCCAATGTTATTTTCCTCAAAAAGAGGTTGGAAGATCCATAAAACGATTGTCAATGGTCAATAAGAGGTGAGGATGACAGAAAAAACACATTTGTATTTCTGTCACGCCCCAGCTGTCCTTTATAACCCGAGTCTCAATGAGAGAGATGGCGAGAGAGAGAGAGCGAGGAGGAGGACAGCAGATCTGGCAGCAGCACTGTGAACTGTTCAGTTGCCAAAAAAGTTTTTCTTCTCTGTCTTTTAACAACATTACTCCCTTTCTCTCTTACTTTGTCATTCAATATCTAATGCTACCGATCTCTCTCTCTCTCTCTCTCTCTCTCTCTCTCTCTCTCGCTCTCTCAGTCTGAGGTTTGTGTGCAAGATATGTACAGTAATTTTCAATATGGCGGCTGTATAAACAGAAGTCCCACCTTTCAGTACAACAAATGAATCATCTGTTTGTTTACTCTAGACCAGGGGTGTCAAACTCAATTCCTGGAGGAGTTTAGATTCAACTCTAATTAAACACACCTGATCCAACTAATCAAGTCCTTCAGGCTTATTTGAAAAATACATGGTATATGTGTTGGAGCAAAACTCTGCAGGGTTTGACACCCCTGCTCTATCTAGAACATAGATGCATATTAAATAGGCCTGAAAATATATATATCTAGCTATTTAGCTAGTTAAAGAGTTATTATTCCCTAATAACACAAAATATTTTTGAACTTGAATGGCGGGTTTAGCTTTCTGAGCCCACTTTTTGTCTCAAAGGAAATAGTTATTAGCAGCATTTGCCATCCAGTGGAACAACGGGTGAGAGATATTGAGATCTGGCACTCACGTTTTTGTGATTGACACATTTCATAAGCACCAGCTCCCTGTATGCTCTCTTGGCATGAGTCTGGTTCTGAAAAGGTCTGCTGAGTTTCTTAATGGCCACATTTCTGTCCAAGACGGCGTCATATCCAGCACTGCCAGAGAGAGTGAGAGAGAAAGTAATATTAATTTGTGGGAAAACAATGAGTTAGTGAAGAGAATGAAAATCATTTAAATGTTTAATTCACATTCAGAGTGAAATTCAACACATATCTCTATATAACCTTTGGGCAAAAAGTGTTTTTTTTTGTTGTTTTTTTTCCAATTTGCAGCTCATTTCAATTTTTATTATCTAAAATTATGAAGGCCATAAAATAAACCAGATTTGCATTTTCACAAAGAAATATTATTGTTTGCAATGAATAAATAAAGAGTGTTTAAGTTTTAGGGCAACACCTTGTTTTCAGTTGGATGTTTTTGAGCTGCTTTTGCAAAATGCAAAATGGTTTAATACACTGGAAAAAAATGATGCTGAAACAATTTAAATTCAGAAATTGCTTGTAAATTTCACAATTAATTAAAAAATAATGGCAGGTAACAAACTGAATTAAATGTAACATTGAGACTGAAATAGTATTTTCTCGTCAAACATACTCCAATAAACCTTATTTTATTTACAACTTCGAAAAATCTGTTTTTACCGTGTAGATGTAAGAAAGAAAAATCCAATCCTAATTCAATATGCAAATAAATGCAAGAAAGACCAATCACAATTTAGTGCGAAAATATATAATACAAATATATATTTTTGAATGTACAGTATATTGAACATTCTATTCATGCGAGTTAATGGGTTTTTCACATTTTAATTTACAGAAATTTGAGAGAAATCGAGTAATGTTCAACGCTGACATCAGGAAACCCTTCACTGATTGATCGGTGGAGAGAGTATGCTTCTCCAATCTTGCAATATGAGCAAAGGGTTAAACCTGGAGTCGCTCCCTCTCCTTCCCTTTCTCCCTTTCACTCTGCTTTCCCTCACCACCCAGGAAAACCGTGCTCATTAACTATGCAAGAGCCGCAGCTCTCCACGGGAAAATACAGGATTAGAGAGGGCCAAGGCACTCAGTGTGTATGTGTGTGTGTGTGTGTGTGTGGCTTCAATCCCAAAGCACTGCAGAAAACAAGTAGCCAATGGCTCATTTTGATATAACACATTAATGTTCTCTGATAAATGGAAGGCTGGTATTAATAGTATTTAAAGAGTTAAGCTTAAAAAATGTAATGATTCACAATTCAATTTCACAAACAAAATGGTCCCTTCAATGCCAAAGGGAGGCAATAAATGAATTTTTATAATAAATTAGCCACAAAAAAGCATTAATGTATCACAGTGGGTGGTACCCGTCTCCGTTGTTTCCTGTCTTTTACTTTGAGGATTATGGGAAATTACAACCAGACAGGCATAAAGTTCCGGCCACCTGGATTTTGTGTGATAATTAGCATGACAGGAATATGTCAATTCTGTCAGGACCACTATCGTCAAAGATGATTGACAATTAGCATACAGTTTGGATTGGCGGTATGGTTCTGTTCTGGGCAAAAACTCCCTGCGCCTCCATGCAGCCTAGCATGGATGAGAGCAGGGAGAGCTGCAATAACCCCCCAGGGTAAACAGAACAGAACTAACGTAACTGTATTGCAGATATTGTTAAAGTTCAATCATTTTATTTACACATTTTAGAATTAGTCTGATTCAATGAGAATCAGAAGGCTGAATCTCGACTGACAGAGGAGGAGCTGGGGATGGAGGAGGGTAATTAGCTATTGAGCAATGCGAAAACTGCTGATAATACTGAGGGACCTTATATATGAATGCTTAGATAGGTGTCGTATTCCCATAGGTAGATGGGGATCAGCTGAAGGTCAGCTGATGCGAGCTTGACTAACGTGACCTGCCAGAACTAACGCTACGCTTGATAATTATTTTTGTGTGAAGTATAAATGTGTTTGAGTGATTATTTTTGTCAGTGTACAATTACAGTAGTAAACATCTAAATTACTCACAGTGGCACAGTTAAAGCGAGTAAAACGAGCAGTAAATTACTGTCCTCTTAGTATCATTCTGCTGATCATTTACAGTCATTTGTAAGAAAATGACCCAGCATGCATTGATTTCAGAATAAATTTCTGGCTACAGTAATTTATTGTAAAATAATACTCTTTAATCCTGTAAATTCCTGGCAATTTTATTACAGTGTGGTTAATGCAGCAGTAGAGCAATTGGTAAAAAGCACTTTATTTTTTACGACTGGACCAGGTACAAGAAGTGCTACCAGAGGCCATTGTGTTCTGAAAGCTGCTGAGGTTTACGACTGAATAGCTTCAACCCATAAGGCTGCACTGAAAAAGTCTACTCTTTAACCATGTTGACATGCGCTGGTAAAGTTTAAAGTGCCATTGTTAAAATAAGACTAACATGACTCACACAGGACCAGGAAATGTAATGACTGAAAAATGAATTCCTCCTGCAGTACCCCATGGAGCCACAGACAGAAACCGCAACTGAAAAGTTGAAAGTGTGCCCTGTTCTACAGTCAAAACTGACCTACACTCTTTTAATCTCCAATAAAAACCTATTTAAACGCCTTCTGGGTGAATAAAACGTGAGGGTCTGTGTGTGCTTGGGCACTTGTCTGTTCAATGCAACCGTTTTTAAAACTTCCACATTGGACTACAACTCAACAGTCAAAGCTACATGTTTAACTCTGAATAAAAGTCTGAAATCAAGAACTCAAAGGTCCATATGGATCTCTGATTCACCTATGGATTATTTGAGCAGACAGTCAGAGCTGTAGAGTTGGTTATACAGCAGATGGTCAAAGCAGAAGGGGGTGAGATACACCAAAACAGGCTTTCAAGGAGGGGTGAGGAAAAACCCTAACCTACAGTACAAAATACTATTTCAGCCTTTCTACTTTAAAATTTCACCTTCAATTCAGTGTGCTACTTACTGTTTCTTCTAATTTAATTGGGTGAAAACTGTTTCTGCACCAAGTGCAGCTAAATTATAGTTATTTCAGTCCACTAAACAATGTTTAGAAAGTAAACCATGTGATTTTAAGCAGGCAAGATATTCTATGAGCTGCAGCAGGAAAGTTTCTAAAGCACGTTTTTGGAACCGAGTGTCCATGGTAACAGCGGTTTCAGATTTTTTGGCTAATGGCGGCCATAGATACCCAAAGATGATGTCACGGTTGTCTCTCTAGGTGGTTAATGAATTGCAGCATTGCTCTTCAAGAGCCCAGCCTACAGGCAGCTGTCACAAACCAGACACCATTTTAACTTAACCACAGTTTACACTACAGCATAAAAACAAGGTTTGTTTGGGTAGAAAGACCTGACATATAACCACATCATATCATACTAGTAAAAATGGGTTATACCTAAAGGAATTGTCTAAAAATATTATGTCATCATTTTCTCAGTCACATGTATCTAAAAGTATTATTCTTTCTTCTAAGAAATACAAAAAAAGGAGTTGAAATTTTGTCAAAACTGAGTGTCAAAACTTCCATCTAACGAAAATGATAATTGGTCATTCATAATGATAAGCTACAAAAATGATCACAAAAGCCACTTAAGTCCATATGACTTGTCTTCCAAAGCTATACGATACATTTATGTGAGAAACAGATTGAAATTTAAAGGGATAGTTCACCCAAAAATTAAAACACAAACACAAATATTGTGGCACACAAAAGAAGATATTTTGAGGAATGTTGGTAACCAAACAGTTTTGGCTTCCATTGACTTCCACTGTATTATCAAAAAATATAATGGAACTCAATAAGAACCAAAACTTCTATATATCTTTCATGTATCTTCTTTTGTGTTCCACATGTAGAAAGAAAGTCATACAAGTTTGGAACAACATAAGGGTAAGTAACTTTTCAGCAAATTTAAATTTTTGAGTGGGCTATATAGGAATAGTTCAACATGAATGAAATATGCTGAAAATTTGGCCATCTAAGATGAGTAGATGAGTTTGTTTCTTCATCTGAACAGATTTGGAGAAACTGAGCATTACATCACTTGCTCACCAATGGATCCTCATGGGTGAATGGGTGCCGTCAGAGTAGTAGGTTTGTTTCTTACAAACACACAGCTTTTCACTTCATAAGATGTTAATTGATGGACTGGAGTAGTTTGAATTGCTTGTGGATTATTGTGATGTTTTTATCAGCTGTTTGGACTCTCATTCTGACGGCACCCATTTACTGCAGAGGATCCACTGGTGGGCAAGTGATGTAATGCGGAATTTCTCCAAATCTGTTCTGATGAAGAAACAAACTCATCTACATCCTGGAGGGCCTGAGGGTGAGTAAATTCTCAGCAAATGTTCATTTTGGGTGAACTATTCCTTTAAATCATTATTTGCTGAGTTTTTTGTAGAGGAATTTTATTCCACTACAAAAAACAAGGATTAAAACTTTCCAGCCATTTTTGGGCCACAACAAAAAATCTTCTTTTTTAATTGAACACATTAAAAATCATATTCAAACACTATAATCACAGCACAATACATCACACATCCCAAACCTAAGTCTATGAGGAAAGGAAGTGGAAAAGATGACAAAGTCGCTGACAGCCAATAGTGGAGTTTGGTGACAGCCTGGTGAAATTAATCACAGCCTAGTGTAATTAACTTGACACTAAGTTCATCACAATGTTCAGCCCCTCTGCCAGCTGCACAAGAGCTTGGCTCAGAAACCTCCTATCAGCTTGTTTGTGTTCTCATTATTTTTCTCTCATAAGTGACATAGTCTTTGTGGCCTGTCATAAGCAAGACATGTAAATAAAGGTGCTTTTTTGCTATGAGAGGTTGCATAATAATCAAGCTATTTTCAGAAATTAGTACTAACATACTGCTCATTGCATATTAGATTTAATATAGTATATATTATATAATGCTTCATTTTATGCTTATTTTTATACACTATTGATCCAAAGTTTGGGGTAGATAAGTTTTTGTTTTTGTCTTTGAAAGAAGTCTTTAATGCTTACCAAGGCTGCATTTATGTGATCAAAAAGTGTTTTCTATTTTAATGTGTTTTAAAATTTAATTTATTCCTGTGAGGCAAAGCTGAATTTTCAGCATCAATACTCCAGTCTTCAGTGTCACATGATCCTTTAGAAATCATTCTAATATGCTGATTTGCTGATCAAGAAACATTTATTTTTATTATCAGTTAAAAACAGTTGTGCTGCGTAAAAAATATTTCTGTGGAAATTGTGGAAATGTATAAGATTATAAATGTCTTTAGTGTAACTTTTGATCAATTTAATGCAATCCTCGCTGAATAAAAGTACAAATGTACTTAATATTTTACTGTCTCCAAACCATTGAAACAGCACACAATATGCAACAATAAATATTCAAAACTGTGGTTATACTGTCACAAGAAAGTTGTGATGAGTTAAGATTGCAGAAATGGTAATATATAGTAAATATATCGTATATATTTATTTTTAATCAAATTTGGCTGTTCAAACAACCAATGAGCCAAGGAACATGCACATTTCATTGTGCGATATTATTAGTAACAGACAAATGTTATGACCTACTACAATTATACAGTGCACAACATAAATAGAATGAGTAGTATGAGCACAACAGCTACCTTCAGTGAAACACAAAAACGTGGCAAAAATACTTCTTTCTTCTATTATTTAGGCCAAGAAATCCCCTAAGAGTCTGAAAGCATCCTTTTGCTTCTTGAGAAATTGCCTATGTTTTGCATAATGGATTATATAATACAGAACGGATGCTTGTAATGTTTTTGGGCATTCTGTTTGTTTTACAGATAATTGTATTTACTTATACATTTACTTTCTTGGCACACACCTTTTTACCCAACATGCAATATAGGAGAGAGTTCCGCAAGGTAAAGAATCTCATTTTCCAGCAGTCAGGAGATTGGTGTGTGAGTGTGTGATATGATGAATTATTAGCGGCCAAACCTTTAGCAGCAGATGCTCATAGCTCTGACTATTATACTCTGAGGAAAGCAGCACTGCGTCATCTAAATATTCAGCATGTAGCTTTCCAACATGGACTGTGAATGATATGATAGATCCATTTAATAATTCCACAGACCCAGCTAGCAAAAATATGCTGTGAAAAGGTTTATTTAAGTCAAGATAAGGTTGTAATAACCTGACCTACATACTTAATAATATGACAAATGTTTGGTTTATTTAATGTGATAAATATATACACAACTGGTTTTTGAAAAAATAAGATTTCTAGAAGGATCATGTGACACTGGAGCAATGACTGCTTGAAAAAAATCAGCTTTGCCAGCAAAGGTTTAAATTACATTTGTAAATATTTTCAAATAGAAAACTGTTCAATGTTAAAAACAGTTGTGCTGCGTAAAAAATATTTCTGTGGAAATTGTGGAAATGTATAAGATTATAAATGTCTTTAGTGTAACTTTTGATCAATTTAATGCAATCCTCGCTGAATAAAAGTACAAATGTACTTAATATTTTACTGTCTCCAAACCATTGAAACAGCACACAATATGCAACAATAAATATTCAAAACTGTGGTTACACTGTCACAAGAAAGTTGTGATGAGTTAAGATTGCAGAAATGGTAATATATAGTAAATATATCGTATATATTTATTTTTAATCAAATTTGGCTGTTCAAACAACCAATGAGCCAAGGAACATGCACATTTCATTGTGCGATATTATTAGTAACAGACAAATGTTATGACCTACTACAATTATACAGTGCACAACATAAATAGAATGAGTAGTATGAGCACAACAGCTACCTTCAGTGAAACACAAAAACGTGGCAAAAATACTTCTTTCTTCTATTATTTAGGCCAAGAAATCCCCTAAGAGTCTGAAAGCATCCTTTTGCTTCTTGAGAAATTGCCTTTGTTCTGCATAATGGATTATATAATACAGAACGGATGCTTGTAATGTTTTTGGGCATTCTGTTTGTTTTACAGATAATTGTATTTACTTATACATTTACTTTCTTGGCACACACCTTTTTACCCAACATGCAATATAGGAGAGAGTTCCGCAAGGTAAAGAATCTCATTTTCCAGCAGTCAGGAGATTGGTGTGTGAGTGTGTGATATGATGAATTATTAGCGGCCAAACCTTTAGCAGCAGATGCTCATAGCTCTGACTATTATACTCTGAGGAAAGCAGCACTGCGTCATCTAAATATTCAGCATGTAGCTTTCCAACATGGACTGTGAATGATATGATAGATCCATTTAATAATTCCACAGACCCAGCTAGCAAAAATATGCTGTGAAAAGGTTTATTTAAGTCAAGATAAGGTTGTAATAACCTGACCTACATACTTAATAATATGACAAATGTTTGGTTTATTTAATGTGATAAATATATACACAACTGGTTTTTGAAAAAATAAGATTTCTAGAAGGATCATGTGACACTGGAGCAATGACTGCTTGAAAAAAATCAGCTTTGCCAGCAAAGGTTTAAATTACATTTGTAAATATTTTCAAATAGAAAACTGTTATTTTAAATTGTAATAATATTTCAAAATATTACTGTTTTTACTGTATCAAATAAATGCAGCCTCGGTGAGTTTAAAAGACTTTCATTTTATCGCAATTATTCCATTGGTATGTATTTTTACAGAAATGTTGCAAACATTATCAATACCTTATACTATAATTTCCGAATAAAATAATTGTATCATATTCCTTTTAAAATGTAAATTTACCATTTAATAGAAAATAAATACCAGTGTTAATATGTAATTATTTTCTGAATTCAAAATATGTTATATAAGTACATAAGCAAGTATTAAACATGTAAATTGAAAGTGAAAGTGACGTGACATGTGGCCAAGTATGGTGACCCATACTCAGAATTAGTGCTCTGCATTTATCCCATCCAAAGTGCACACACACAGCAGTGAACACACACACACCGTGAACACACACCCAGAGCAGTGGGCAGCCATTTATGCTGCGGCGCCCGGGGAGCAGTTGGGGGTTCGGTGCCTTGCTCAAGGGCACCTCAGTCGTGGTACTGAAGGTGGAAGAGAGCGCTGTACATTCACTCCCCCCACCTACAATCCCTGCCAGTACGAGACTCAAACCTGCAACCTTTAGGTTATGAGTCCAACTCTCTAACCATTAGGCCACGACTTCCCACGAATGTGGAAGGACTGAAATTATTATTATTATTATTATTATATATATATACTGTATATATTTTTTTTACATACTCCAATCATTTTTATAACTTCAAAAGATCACTTTTATAGTTTATATGCTGAGTTGCAGTTCTGGTAATCAAAATACATAAACCCCAAAATATTAAGTGTGCAGTTTAGTTAGATTTTTTAGATTTCTAGCCTCTAAGATTTTAAGGTTTTTATAATATTTTTTAAATATTGCAGCAATATAACCTAACCACATTAGTTTCATCAGGGCCTGTGGAAAACATGTGACTTTGCACAGTCCTTTTAAACTGTCCTTCTTTTGCCTCTCTCTCTCTCTGGAGAATGATGTGGCGTTTGTTAGGCTAATACAGCTGCCATGCTACATCATGTGACTGCTGCTGAGGAGAGGAAGCTAAATTAGATCAGGGTTGTCCGTCCAGCAGGCAGGATTACCGCAGCCAGCAAACCAGCCAGAACACATCAACAAAGCCATTAACAGTCCAGTCCTGCCTCCCTGCCTGCTCCACACAACCGTACCGCTGCCACTGAAACTGAGAGGCAAGGACAGAGGAATGGGGGAGGGGAAAAAGACAGGGAAATGGGAAAAGGGAGGGCCAACTTAATCTAGATTTCCCATAATCCCATGGGTGAAAAGTCAACGACTCATACTAGCTTGTATTTTCATTGTAAATCATAGGGTTTGGTTTTTGGGGAGCACAATGAGCACAACTCGGATCCAAATTAATTGCTGTCCACTGGGAACTGCAATTCATTCTGCCAAGAACTTAACATTAAAAGCCTCAATCAGGAAGACGTTTGAGAATCATTATGCCATCCATATGGACATCTTTCACAATAAAAAGACAAAGCGATGCATTATGGGTACTCACCACACTATTCCCTGAGCCCCAGAACCGATGGGCTTTAGATTTTGGTACCGTTTGAGAACCGTGAAGGTGGAATCTCCTACTTCCACACTGTAGAACTGGTTGTCCACTTTGCTTTTGCTCATGTTGTAATGCTGGGCGATGTAAGAAACATCAACTTGTTTACCAAACCCCTGGAGAAAAAGATGGATGTGGAGAAAAAAAGATGAGAACATCACAGAACAGTTGATAAGCACTTGTAAGGCTATTATTAAAAAAGCACATTCATAAATTCATACAAACCTAATTTAACTTTAAACGATTCACCTCAATAGTGATATAATAAACAGTCTTATTTTCATCAGCACGGGATATGAAAACCCATTTAACACTATAAAACTACAGATGAGTTCGCTTAAACGACTTGCAGATAAATAAACGATTGCAATGTGATATGGCAGCTTGATATTCAGGTCAAACCACACACTAGGCAACTAAATTAATATAATTAAATAAAATGAGGTGTCACAAATGAGTGAAGACAAACATTGCATCTATTACTATAAGCAATTTGAGAAGATGCAAGACTTTATATGTCGCAAAAGAAAAAAAAAAAACTTTATTCAACAATTCGTCTCCACCCTGTAACGTCATTTTGGAGAGTGTGTGTCAGCTGCATCACACTGGATCTGTTTCCTACGTTGTTGTGATTTGATCTGAACGAAAGCAGCGTATCCGTGTGATGCAGCTGACACAGAACAGCATACCTTGTTTATGTCTAGTGGATATTCTCCAAAGTGGCGTTACAGGGTGACGCAGAGGAGACGAATTGTTGAATAAAGTCGTTTTTTTTTTTTCTTTTGCGCACAAAAAGTATTCTCGTAGCTTCGTAAAATTACGGTTGAACCCCTGATGTCACATGGATTATTTTACAGATCTCCTTGCTACGTTTCTGGACTTGGGAACATTTCAGTTGTATTGCTGTCTATGCAGGGTCAGACAGCTCTCAGATTCCATCAAAACTATCTTAATTTGTGTTCCGAAGATGAACGAAGGTCTTACGGGTTTGGAACGACATGAGGGTGAGTAATTAATGACAGAATTTTCATTTTTGGGTGAACTAACCCTTTAAGTTAAATGATCGAGGTTATGAGAGCTCTCTTCATGCCAGCATTGGCACAAAAGTCAGCTGTGTAATCGATTGTACTAACTGTCACATAGTGAATGCATTTGTGGCCATATACCAAGAGAGGAAGCTGTCCACATAATTTCACAAGCTAAATGGTAATTAGTGAGAGAGAGAGAGAGTAATATGCATAAATGCATGTGTGTACGTGCTTCGTAAAGTCTATCTTCATCTTGGGAGTCACTCCTCACTGCAGTGTCCCCCTATTAAACTGACTGGGCTAATTTGAAGCTTATGAGCTTTGATTTGTGGTAATTGTGGCCTTTTATTGAAATAATTGTTAGAGCACATAGAATGGTTTGGTTTCATTATTGTGGTGAAATTACACACACACACACACACTACAGGTCAAAAGTTTTGAATTATGAAAATTTTATTTGTCTCTTATACTCATCAAAGCTGCATTTACTTGATTAAATGCAGTAAAAACAGTAATACTGTGAAATATTATTACAATTTAGAATAACTGTTTTCTATTTTAATCACACGATCAGAAATCGTTCTAATATTCTGATTTGCTCAATTACTATCAACTAGTGTGGTACTCAATTACTAATAATGGTTGTTATTATTATCAATGTTGAAAACAGTTTTTGCATCTTAATCTTTTCGTAGAAATCATGATACATACATTTGAACAATTCTTTTATGAATAGAAAATTCATAAGCATTTATTTGAAATAGAAAAGTATTTACTTTTAATTTAATTTTTAATAGCATTTAATTGAAAACATGTTACTTTAGATTTTTTTTTTTCAGATTTTTTTTTTTTATTAATTATAAAAAAAAAAATTACAATTTTTTTTTTAATCTTCCATACCCTAAACTACTGCATGGTAGTTTCCACAAAAATGTTAAACAGCAAAAACTGTTTTCAGTAATGGCAATCATAAGAAATTTTTCTTGAGCATCAAATCAGCATATTAGAATGATTTATGAAGGATCATGTGACACTGAAGACTGGATTTATAAATTCGTTCTAAATAAATAAATAAATAAATTCTGCATGTAGCATATTTATGGTTTTCATATTATTGTGTTGTTAGCTTAGCAACGTGCTAGCATCAAAATCTACTGGAATCAATTCTGAAACAGGTCTCCTGTTTCGCAATAGAGCTGATACACTTTTAGGGATATGAAACACACTTGGTTCAGGAGTCAGTTTCAGACACACTTATCTGAAGTGACCACCAGTACACTTACTACAGTGAAAGTCTCTGTGGAGTACACAGAGGTTAAGTGTCTCGCTCAAGGACACAGTGTTGATTCATGGAGCGATCTTTATGGGATATGAACCTACAGCCTTTTGGTTAACAGAGCGAATCTTTATCCACTAGGCAACTCTACTGTCCTCTTGACCTGTGATCTGTACGTCTCACAAAATGACTTTCTGACAGGTGATGAGGATAATTTAAGGCCCAAAAGAAAGAATGAAGGACAAAAACCCAAGGGACATATAAAAGTCAGTTTTGCTGTGCTACTGTGATTACTTCAGGGAATAGATACTTTATTTCATATTTAGATTAAGCAGAAGGAAGTTTCATTATGTAAAACCATCATTATTATATTCTGATATATGAATGTCTATGGAAGATTGTTGGGCCATTGAATAAAAAAACAAAAGGGGTAACTGCAACTTTTTTCCCACAATCCCGAGAAGAAAACTCAGAATTGTGAGATATAAAGTCACAATGATAATTTTTTCAAGATGTAAACTCAGAATTGAGTTTATGTTTTGCTATTTTGAGTTTATATCTCGCAATTCAGAATTGTGAGAAAAAAAGTTGCAATTACCTTTTGCAACCTTTTAAACTGTTACAACACAAATCAGGTCAGTAAAGTTATATTGTCATATTGTCACAAGTCAGTCAATCTAGAGCCCAGAATTTAAGGAAGATGTACATCTATAAATTGAATTTAAAGGGATAGTTCACTCAAAATCATCAAGTACTCACCCTTATGTCATTCCAAACCTGTATTTGTCTATTTAGTGAAAGTTAATGGAGAGCAAAACAACAACAAAAAAATAACAATTAGACATTTTGTAATATCTTCTTTTGTGCTCCACATAAGAAAGAAAGTCATACAGGTTTGGAACGACATGAAGGTGCAGTAAATAATCACAGAATGTTCATTTTTGCCTGAACTATCCATTTAAAGCCAACATGGATTGACATTTACAACCCATTTTATTTCCACAATGTGATATATTTCAGAGTTCAAACAATATTATGATAACTTTGCATGAGAAACATGCTGAAATTTAAGTCATTATACAATAAAAAAAAGTCACTTTCCCAGAAAAAAAAAGAAAGTCTGGTTTGCAGCAACACAAGTAAACGATTCAGAATATCTTTTTTTTTTCCTTTAAGTGATTTTAATTTGAATGATGCATCTGTATGACTACATTGATTTTAGAAAACACTTGAATGCTTATTTAAAGTGATCTTAATGCATTTTGGGAAACCCGACTCTGAATGGCTTGGAATGCTGCAAGGAATTGATCCTGTAAGCTGTACAACTTCCTTAAGTGCCCAGACATGCTGTCCCCAGTATTTGTTTTAAACAATGACACATCCATAAGAATGACAGACAGAATGGAAGTGAATGAATACTCTACCTTTTAATTTACCTGTATGGAACACACACCTGACAAAAGGCAATCTTCACATCCAGGACTGGAGCACTGCAGTTATATAAGAAATGTCTGTTCATAAATACCTGAAACACAGGAATTAAGAGTCGTGATTAAAAACTGAATGAACAAATATAGTAAGAATTTTATATTGAGGTAGCAAGATATTTGCTTTTTGTTCCGTAAAGCTCATTTCATCTTCAAATGACTTGATTCCTCAAGATGTTTTTTGGCAGATAATGATATGTGCTAAAAGAGAGAAAGCTGAGATGATAAACAACACTTTTTCCTCTTCTCACATCTACTATCTTCGTTCGGTCTCAAAGCCCCTGCCCTGTGGATATAACGGCTCTCGGCACACTGAGGATCTATGCATTAACTGCGAATGTGTCTGAGGAGAACGGACGTTCCAAGAATAGTCAGTGTCATCCAGGAGTCAAAGACAGTATGCTAATTCGCGTAGATTATTTCTTCTGCCTGCTCTGCTCTGTTTCCTGTTATTTTTTTATTTTTTTTCCCCCCAAGGGACGAGGAAGAGCTTTTGGTAAGCACTGTGCACCCTGCCTTTTAAAGATACTGAAGCCCCGTGGATAGGCGTTAAATATTCATTAGTGTTTTCCAGATTTCATATCAGCCAGCAGTAACAAAGCGATCAATCCATATGGATGCACAACATGTGGGTCATTTTAACAGTATGAAATGTTTTATTTATTTATTGGCTATTATTACTGATTTCACTCAGTGTGAATGAAAAAAAAGAAAGAAATTCAAATATAAATTTATGAAGTGATATAAATTTATAAGTAGAAATATTTTGATATTTCGATAACAAATAAAAATCAGACGTAAAGATGCATTAAATTGTTCAAAAGTAACAGTAGAGACTTATAAGGTTGCTCATATAATGTTGACGTTTAATGCTGTTCAATGAACTGTATACTTATTAAAGAATCCTGAAAAAACGTATCACAGTTTTTACTCAAATATTATGCAGCACAACTGTTAACATTGATAATAATAAGTAATGTTTCTTGTACAGCAAACACACACACACACATATATACAATATATATATATATATACAGTGGGTACGGAAAGTATTCAGACCCCCTTCAATTTTTCACTCTTTGTTATATTGCAGCCATTTGCTAAAATCATTTAAGTTAATTTTTTTTCCTCATTAATGTACACACAGCACCCCATATTGACAGAAAAACACAGAATTGTTGACATTTTTGCAGATTTATTAAAAAAGAAAAACTGAAATATCACATGGTCCTAAGTATTCAGACCCTTTGCTGTGACACTCATATATTTAACTCAGGTGCTGTCCATTCCTTCTGATCATCCTTGAGATGGTTCTACACCTTCATTTGAGTCCAGCTGTGTTTGATTATACTGATTGGACTTGATTAGGAAAGCCACACACCTGTCTATATAAGACCTTACAGCTCACAGTGCATGTCAGAGCAAATGAGAATCATGAGGTCAAAGGAACTGCCTGAAGAGCTCAGAGACAGAATTGTGGCAAAGCACAGATCTGGCCAAGGTTACAAAAAAAATTCTGCTGCACTTAAGGTTCCTAAGAGCACAGTGGCCCTCCATAATCCTTAAATGGAAGACATTTGGGACGACCAGAACCCTTCCTAGAGCTGAGCTATCGGGGGAGAAGAGCCTTGGAGAGAGAGGTAAAGAAGAACCCAAAGAACATTGTGGCTGAGCTCCAGAGATGCAGTCAGGAGATGGGAGAAAGTTGTAGAAAGACAACCATCACTGCAGCCCTCCACCAATCGGGGCTTTATGGCAGAGTGGCCCGAAGGAAGCCTCTCCTCAGTGCAAGACAAATGAAAGCC